TTTTTCTTTTTTTTTTTTTTTTTTTTTTTTTTTTTCCTTCTCTCTCTCTCTCTTTTTTTTTTTTTTTTAAATCAGAAAGGAGTAAAGAACACCCTCTTAATGGCTCATTTTCTCATAATTTGAATATTGTGTCAATATATCCATTTTAATCCTTTGTTTTAGCAATTGGTTAACATGAAAGTGGTGTAATATCTTATTTTTCTCCAAATCCAAATTTTAAATGCAGAAATAGAACAAAATAACTGCCACACTAAATAGATTTTTATAGACACTGTTGCTTTTGGCAGGTTTTTAAGAGGTTGGTCACTTAATTACTCAGAGTGGGATTCCTGTAGGTTTTGTGTAGTGATGGCATTTCTGCTTAAAATGTAAGTGGTGGAAGGCAAAACCAGATTTCCTGTGCAGTTGTTGCATGCATAACGCCCCTACTTGTTTTAGAGGGAGTCTGCTAGAACTGAATCGAGTTTTTAAATAAACTTGAAAGAGCCTTAATTCCCACTTTGGCAAACCCAAAGTACAGATTTTTAAGTGTTTACTATAAGTACTGACAGTAGTTGCTAACTCTAAAACCTGTTAGCATTGGTGGAAAACTGAGAAATGCTGTTATATGGTCTCAACAAAGACTTACTGATACTAGTTTCCATTTCTACTAAATTTTGCAAGTTTTATATCAACTGTCTAAAATCTTGAAGTCACATGATAAAGAGAGCCCAGTTTACATCTCTAGAAATTAGAGATTAAATCCAAGAGTAAGATACAAGCTTTCAGTAACTTGACTAGCGGAAGACCTGATCATGAAAAGCTTTCAGGTCAAAGCTGATCCTTCTTTCAATAATGATTCCAAACACAAAAAGCCAAATTATATTTTAGTGGATAATATTTTAATGTTTTCCAAACCTAAGTGTTGAGGTCATTTTAAGTTCATTTAAAGGCGTTTTCAATGTACCTGACCACATCTGACCTCTTTTCAGTGCCAAATTTAATGTTTTAATCTCCCCAAAGGGTACCATAATTATAACATTTAATTATTATTTTGTGGTGGGCTATATGCCAAAATTTAGTAAGACAACTATCATATATTATTTAAATTCATTCTGTCTTGGATTGAACAGGATATGTGTTTTAAATTAAGGCTACTCTATTGTCTCTATCTTTTCCTGATCTACGATCAAACATTTTTCATAGTAACTTAGAAGTCTTCTGTGTTGTATTAAGCTTTTATCAAGCCTGAAATGGAAGCAATTGACCACTTTTCTTTGGAATGGCATAGACATTTAAAAAAATTCCATTCTCTATGAAGTGTAAAATATGTATAATGCTAATATTTTCATGAAACTTTTATTTTGAGATAAGCATAGATTCGTATTCAGTTGTAAGAAACAATACAGAGATCTCACTCATGTACCTTTCTCGCAGGTCAACCAGTAATAACGTCTTGTAAAAATATAGTACAATGTCACAACCAACAATATTGACGTTGATAGTCAAGATACAGAATGTTTCCTTACAGAACATTCCAGCACAAAGACCCCTCCTGCTGCCCTTTTATAACCACTCCCACTTCGCTTCTACCTCAACCGCTACCTTCACCCTTGGTGATCATGCTCTGTTCTCTATTTTTATAATTTCATTAATATTATATAACAAATCATGTAGTATGTAACCTTTGGGATTAACTTTTTTCATACAGTATAATTATCTGGAGATTCATCTGTGTTGGTTTGTGTATCAGTTATATCAATGGTTCATTCCTTTTTTAGTGCTGAGTAGTATGCCATTATATGAATTTTTCACTGTGTGACCATTCACCTGCTGGTTGCCGTCTGTCAAGTTAGGGCTCTCATGAATAAAATCACTATAAACATTTATGTACAGGTTTTTGTGTGAACATAGTCTTTATTTCTCTGGGATAAATGCCCAGCAGTGTAACTGCTGGGTCATATGGTAGCTGAATATTTAGTTTTTAAGAAATTGCCAAACTTTTCCAGAGTGGCTGTATCACTTTACATTCCCACCAGCAATGTTTAAATGATCCAGTTTCTTCACTTGCTTATCAGCATTTGGTGGTGATATTTTTTATTTCAGTTATTCTGATAGGTGTATAGTAATCTTATTGTGGTTTTAATTTAAACTTTCCTAATGACTAATGATGTTGAACACCTTTTCATGTATTTTCAGTGATGTTTCTTCATGTCATTTTCCCTTTTTCAAATTGGATTTTTTTTTCACTGTTGAGTTTTGAGAGTTTTTTTTTTTTAATATATCTTCTAGATACTAGTCTTTTGTCCAATATGTAAATCGAGTTGCAAGTATTTTCTCCCAGTTTGTAGCTTGTCTTTTCTTCCTCTTAACAGGATCTTTCACAGAGCAAATGTTTTTAATTTCAATGAAGTCCAGTTTATCAATTTTTCCTTTTATAGATCATGCTTTTGGTATTAAGAACTTTTTCTCTAGCCCTAGGTATCAAAGATTTTATCTTTCATGTTCTTTTTAAAAGTTGTCTACTTTTAA